GCATTTGTTATTGGTTGATTTCTTGATAGCAGCCATTCTTTCTGGGGTGAGGTGGAATCTCAGCGTTGTTTTCATCTGCATTTCTCGAATGACCAGTGATCTTGAACATTTTTTCATATGTTTATTTGCTGCTTTTACTTCTTTGTCTGAGAAATGTCTGTTCATTTCAAATGCCCACTTTTGAATTGGGTCTTTATATTTGGGGGGTCTGATTTTTTTCAGTTCTTTATATAGTCTAGATAGTAGACCTTTGTCTGAGGTACAGCTGCTAAAAAAATTTTCCCACACTGTAGGTTGTCTTTTAGCTCTGTTGGTGGTTTCTCTTGCAGTGCAGCAGCTTTTTAATAAGATGAGATCTCAGTTGTTGATTCTTTGTGCTAGTTCCCCGTGCTACTCAGGATTTGTTCATAAAGTCTTTTCCTATGCCAATGTCTTCAAGAGTTTTACCTAACTTATCTTCCAGCAAGTTTAGTGTTTCTATTTTAATATTTAGATCTTTAATCCACTTGGATTTTAGTTTAGTGCATGGTGACAGAGACGGGTCTAGTTTTAATCGTTGGCAAGTTGAATTTAAGGAGCTCAGTTTTGCACAGGCTGTGTCTGAGATACCTGTGGGACATCTGGGTGAAGATCCCCAGTCAACAGCAGTAAGTAGAAGAGGGAGATTGAGATGGAGGTTTGAAAGCCATCTGAAAATTCAGGCTCTGGTTTACTGCATGCAGAGTAAGCAGAATGGACCAGAACTGACTAGTGTGGGATGAATGCTACACTCAGCAGTGCTGCTTGAGGGGTAAGGGTCAGAAGAACATGGCTGCCAATTCGCAGGTCTGAGGGTGAGACTAAAACACCACAGCTCCCTGCTGTCAGCCCATCAGCCGTCCAAGCCATAAGGGGAGGGGCTTGCTTTATTCCCTGCTTAAAGATTGCCTCATTTTATTATGGAAATTTGATACATACAACACAACTGCATACTTGGAAATCTTTTTTTCACACCAGAAATGAATATAAACCTCAAATTACATCAATTATAAGTTTCTTTGCAAACACTGTTCCTTCTATCCAACCCCCCTCCCCAACCACCACACAATCAGCTGCCTCTTCCTCTTGTCTGCTACCTCCTCTTCCTTTGTGGTACTGGGGAAGGGGAGGTGTCAAACCCAGAGCCTCATTCATGCTGGGCAAGCATTCCACCACTAACTCTAACCCAAGCCCCCCTTTTTAAAATTTTATTTTTTATTTTGAGATAAAGGTCTCCCTCACTTTCCCAGGCTGGTGTTGAACTTGTGATCTTCCTGTTTCAGCCTCCCAAGTAGAAGGCATTACAGGGATGCACCACTGTGCCCAGCTTAAATATTTTCTTTAGCAAAAAAGTATTTTCTTCCTTTTCTCTCCCCATCTTTATCCCAGTATATTTCCAGACTCCCCAACCAGTTAATCCATCATCTCTTTTTTATATATTTAAATTATTCTAATTTTAAAATTTCTGGAACTCATTCCCTTAATAATTTCTTTTCTTCCAAAAACAAAATCCTAAGGAATCTTTGTAGCTACAGTTTCAATCTTGAGACTTCTTTATCTGAGTACGATTAGATAACTACCTCCAAAAATCCTCAACCTTTAGGAATAAAAGCTCTTGAATCTTGGATCTCTTTCCCTGACAGATAGACTTTCTTTTCTTTTCTTTCTTTTTTTTTTGTACCGGGGATCTAGCTCAGGACCTTGCACTTTTGAGACAGACGGTGGCACCACTGAGCTAAATCCCCAGCCCACTTTCTTGAACAGATGTAACACAAAGACCAAAAGACCGTCACCCACAGCAAGTCTTCACCTAACACCAAGCCCCAGTTACCACTTCTGTAAAATGTAATTGTACTAAATACTCACTCTTAGGGTTGCGGAGAGAATTAAACAAGACAATGTGATTAATGTGTATGACATAATACCTCCCACCTTCCTCATTAAATAGTGGTGTTCATTACCATAAGTGCTCTTGGTAAGGCCCCTCCCCAGTCACCTACTATAGTAATTCTCAAGCAATGGAATATCATGCAAATTCAGGACTGGCCTATTGCTACTTCTTCTGAGAGTAATACTATAGCATGTGCCTTCCAAGCTATACCAGATAAACATAACTGGTGAACGTGCTGCAGCTTGGGGCGGTGGGATGTTCTTGTAGCAAGTATCAGTACACAGATGTTGCTGGGAGCACAGAGAAAAGTGCTAAATAGAGCCAGGGATTTAGCTCAGTGGTTCTGCTGCCTGCCTCACCAAGTGCAAGGTCCCAAGTTCCATCCCCGGTACCATTTAAAAAAAAAAAGTGCTAAATAGCAAAAGGAGAAATGGAAAAGTACAGAGTCAGCCTCTTATTTCCAGAAAACCAGAAAAGCCTCCTTGTAGCACTTTGTCAACAAATTTCACCGATGAGCCTTAACTTACAATTTTAGAATGTAAAAAAAATGTCCTGGTTAAAAATACCCTTAGGTTAGTTCTCTTCCTCAGCATATATTTTAATCATCAAAAAACTCAAACTCCTGAGACAATCCTAGTTAGTCTTTTCTGCACTGACAGACACACTCTCTTTAGTGTAATGCTGATCTCCAAATCTTGAGTTGTTTACTTCTTTCCTGTATATATATAAAAAACTCACTCATGTTGTTGAGGTCTTACCATGGGCCAAGAGCTCAATTCTTACAACTCCATGAGGAAGTTCTATTAGTAACGCCATTTTATACACGATATTGAGGCCCCTAAAAGTTAACTAATTCATCCACATTGGCTGCTGGACATTTTTGACTCCAAGAGGATGGCTCTAGAGCCAGGCTCACCACCAGCAGCCCAGCCTGTTGACCTGCATTTCCACTTCCAAGTCCTTCTAATCTCCTATTCCTCAAAAGGCACTGTCTACAGCACAGCTAAGGGAATTTGATACTAGGGAATTTTATTTCTAGCCAAACATAAAAATAGAGATGGAGGGCAGGAGGTAGGAGGAAAGGGATAAGGGATGAAAAAAAGAAATTGTAATGTGTTATGTACATGTACCAACTCCACACAAGGAATAAAAAATTATGTAACTGCAAACCTGTACAAAAAAAAAAAAAAGGAAAGAGATCGAGAGATGGGTAGAGAGAGTAGGGGGAGAAGGGAAAGGAAATAAAAAAGGGAATTAAGGGCCGGGGATTTAGCTCAGTGGTTTCACCACCTGCTGCACAAGGGCAAGGACCCGAGTTCAATCCCCAGTACCAAAAAAAAAAAAAAAGGGAATTAAGATGTGTACCAACTTCCCACAAGGAATGTAAACATTATATACTATGGATATGTACTAATAAACTAAAAAAATAAAAGAGAGACCTCATGCAGTAAAAATATTATTTTAAAAATGTACGTACATATTTCATTTATGAAATAGTGCATTTGCTATTTAACTGAGTAAAGTATCACCTACATTAATGAAAAGTGCACACTGAAATATGTCAAAAGTAGAAATTTCAGTCACTGTGTCTCATTCTTGATTTATCTCAGATGTTCCCAAATCCTATTCTTTCTGGAATTCAGAGTATTCCAGAATAAAAAAATTTCCAATCGGCTTCAATGTTACCTCTGTGAGGCAGCTCGAGGAGGCACCCTGGGGGGCCTCTCAAAGGGTACTGTGTGAGTTCCATCCACTTGCTGCGGGCCCGGACTACGAGTTCTGGTAACTTCTGAGACTTCATTGTCCTGCAGCAAACAAGATGAGAAAAAAAGGTGAAAATTACTTAAAGTAACCAGCACAGCTGGACACCCATATCCCAAAAGTCCCTCAGCCTTCTTTTTTTTGAGCGGGTACCGGGGATCAAACTCAGGTCCTTGCGCTTTCAAGACAGGCAGCATAACCACTAAGCTAAATCCCCAGGCCCCCTCAGCCTTCTTTAGGCTCTGGCTGCAGGGTGTTCACAGACTGACAATCAATCCCGTACATGCTGGCAGCTTTCCATGTCCTCCCCGTGTTGTTGAGGAGGACAGGATGGCCCACATTCTCACGAATCTCCTGAACTCTAAATCCATACTATTCAAAGTAAGGTCCATGGCCTGTCAACACCACCATCACCTAGAAGGTTGTCACAAATGCCCTCCTTGGGACCTATTCTCAGGAGCCTTCGTGGTCAAGGGTGACTCAGGTTGGCCTTCCTATTTCTCCCAGACACTGGTTCCTATGTCTGACCCCAATTCAACCAACTTGGAGAGGGGCTTCAGCCCAAAGCAGCAGCTTCCTCTCACCTCAAGGCCTTGTGGCTCTCTAGGGATTGTGCCACTCCACAGAAAAGGCCAGTGTGCAGGGCAGGAAGAAAGTAGATATGCATTGAAAATCATAGACACAACAACACTGGCCCTGGGACATATGAAACAATGTCCTTGGCTCCCCCTGGCATCCCTTGTGGCCTCTAATCTAGCCCCTGGCATAATCATTGCCCCTGGAATCCCTGCGAGTCACCAGATTCTTCCCACAGATACCACTAGCTGAGTGGATTTCAGTCTCTTTCTTTCTTTTCTCCCTCCCTTCCTTTATTCTTATTGAAGCAAAATTCACATGCTATAGAATCAACCATTTTAAAGTAAACAATTCAGTGGCATTGAGTGCATTTATAGTGTTGTGTAACCAGTACTTCTATCTAGTCTCAAAACATCTTAATCAACCCAAAAGGAAACACCGTAGCTATTAAGCAGTTAATTTCTTCCCATTCCTTCCTCCTTCCAACCCCTGCCAAATATCAATCTATATTCTGTCTCTATGGATTTCTCCATTCTAAATATTTCGTATAAATGGAATTCTACAATATATGACTTTTTCTGTGTGGGTTCTTTCACTGAATTTCTATCTCTCGCAATGAAATGATCCATAGGACAAGACAGATGGGGTGGTGACCCCAGCCCTCACCTCATTGTCGCCCTCCATCCCACTGCTCACACTGAGGAGGCTCCGTGTGCTTGACCGGTTACTCATGCTGCCTAAAGAGTACAAATAAAGTGAGCTGGACTGTGATTCACTCAGGAGAAAACGAAATGTAAAAGTCTAGCACTTATGTGACTGATAGAAACAACATATAAGCTATAAAGACAGAATTCTTCAAATGTGGATGTCTTAATACTATTTTATTAGAGTTCAGGTTCTCTGTCAGCATTATGTGAAATAGTTCACTTTTTGATTACCACTTTCAGCTTAACAGCTATCATTTACTGAGGGCTTATCACACATTAAGTGCTTCAGAAACATGACTGCCACTTTTTCCTTTGAAATTCCTATTTGATATTAGTGCTTTGATTTGACAGGGATGTAGAGGAGCTCTGATTCTCAGTTCAGTAGTATCTCTAAAATATGTAAACCAATTTTGTTACTGCAGTTTCTTACTTAGAATTACAGGAAACATGTACATATAACATACATGTAGACAAACCTTGTAATAAGAGGTGAGACACTCTCACACAAAACAAAATGCAGGGCTGGGGTGTGGTTCAAAGGTAGAGTGCTTGCTCAGCACAGCCCTGAGTTCCATCCCCAGCACCACACAAACACATAGAAAAAAATGCAAAACATAAATTCAAATGTATAATTTACATTCATGGTAGGAGCTGTGACTGTGTAAGTTTAGGTGTCCAAAGCTCTTGAATTGGGAATTTATCACCTATATCATTAGAATAGCACTGTCCAATAGAAATTGTGCTGACAATGTTCCATTTGGGTGCTATCCAATATAGTAGCTAGTGCAAAACATGACTAGTGCAATCAAGGAAATGAACTTTAAATTTTATGTTGTTTGAATTAGTTTAAATGTAAACAGCCACATATGGCTGATGGCTACTGTTATTCAGTACAGCATTAAAAGCAGCCCTAACCCATGGTGATCTAGCATTAGAGAAGGAAGAATGAGAGTTAATCAATGATAACAAGGAAATTTTAACTTTTATTTACCAATATTGCTACTAACACATTGCCAAATCTTAGGGTTGCTGAATTTCCACTTAAAATAGCTAATCTTACTGGTTTGAAAATAATGTTAGTTTTGCCTTTATCATGGAATCAACTTTGACAGAATGAATTTAGATGTTAGCTTGAATAAAGCAGTTAGGATTATAATTTTGGAGTATTTCTTGGGAGCAGATTTTATATCTAAAATAATATGTCAAAATATTTTCATAAACCAGGGAATTCAGAGTTTGTTAGGAGCATGTGACCCTGTCCTTTTCTGCTCATTTAGGCACACATAATACTGTTCACCTGACCAGGGTGTCCTTTTCTCTCCATTTGCCCTGGCCCACTGCTGTCCACAAGCTAAAATCTATTCAGGAAAATACCATCAAAATCCGTCCAGGTTTCCTTAACTAGAAGTAAGCCCTGGGCACATGGGCTTCTATCCCTCTGTGCCTGAGCATCCCCACATCATTCATCATGGTCCCTCCCATTTGGTCATAATAAGCCACACTGTTCTGAAGGTTATCTGCTATCAGAAAGTAAAAACTGGTCACAAGCACTGGCTCTGTAACTCTGGAAATTTATACCCATCAGCTCCCATTGTCCCCTCCCTTGGCATTCTTAAATCTTTAACCCCAGTGTTTGGCTCCAAACCTTGGCTGCCCTGGTTCAATTGCTCTGGCCGTTGCCCCTCTCTAGGCTGTTGACTTTTGGCCACATCCTGCTGGGCTTCACAGTTGGCAGTAAGCCCTGGCCCCAGCCCTATCACCTGTACTCTTTCCAGGGGGAGGGAGGGCACTGCCATCCCTTGCCAGGCTCTGTCGCTGGGGAAGAAGGATCAGATGAGCATCTAATTCATACTATTTCTGTTCTTTCTTTCCTCTATTATAAGCTCTTAAAGACAGGCACTGGTTCTTTTTCATTGTTGTGTGTCCAGTATGCAGTCTAGTTCAGTTTGCATAAGCTGTCCTCTGTGCAAAAATGAGGGGAATATAATCATGTACTGTATAATACGACCCTCAAGAAACTTGGACCAGACAAGAGAAGACGGAGAAGGGTCAACAGTCCTTCTGAAATGGAACTTTTGTTCTCTTAAACATAATTCTAATATCTTGAGTTTTTGGTTATAACCAGATGTAACCTGAAATTATTTTTCTGTGGTTTCCAAGCCATGACAGCTGCAGCATTATAAAAACAGTTTTTGGGCTGGGGATTTAGCTCAGTGGTTCCGGCGCCTGCCTCGCAAATGCAAGGTCCCAAGTCCGATCCCCAGTACCAAAAAAAAAAAAAAAAAAAAAGTTTTGTTTTCAGGATATGACTCTGGGGTAAAAGGGCAGTTGGTGGATCAGAGTAGAGCCACACTTAGTCTCTCCCTCCCTGCCCTTCTATTTGGAAGGCAGTACTTCTCTGGTAAGAGAACAAATAGCCCTGGGTGTGAATCCCAGACCCCCTGCTTACTTGCCAAGAGACCAGAGCAAGTTGCCTAAACTCTCCAACTCTCCATTTCCTTATCTGGAAACTGGGCCCTTGTTGTATAGAATGAATTAGATCACGTGGTAATATGCTTGGCACACAGCCAGCAAAGAGTAAACTTTGATTAATGAAAGCGCCTTTCTGTGTGTATGTGTGTGTGTGTGTGTGTGTGTGTGTGTGTGTGTGTGTGTGTATGCGCAAGTGCATATATATGTATACAGCCAAGCATTTTTCTGGGAAACAGATCCAGAACATGTATCAGGCTCTCAAGGGGATTAAGAATCCCAGGCTCAGGGCTGGGGATTTAGCTCAGTGGTTCTGCTGCCTGCCTTGCAAGCGCAAGGTCCTGAGTTCGATCCCTGGTACCAAAAAAAAAAAAAAAGAATCCCAGGCCAGATAAGCTGTTGGGTGGTCCAACATTTCATTTGTGGATTTTCTGCCTCACATTTATAGAGACATGAATCTTGAAATTCGGCTTCTCCCTGGCTTTTTCATTACTTTTCCAGCAGCTTTGATAACACTGAAATGTATGGAAGAGAGAAACTCTATGGGGTATATGAAGCCAGCGTGGCTGGAGTCAGCTAACAGTCCCCTGGATGTAGAAACAAAGCCCCAGGCCCTCACCTGTACATCAGTGGGCACTGTCTGCACAGTCAGACTCTCACTGAAGTGCAGAGGAATCATATCCTAATTACATCCTCAACTGTCTATAAAGTTGGAATTCTCAAATCTAAGTCCATCGTTTTCTAATGTTCTGACTTTGTGCTCTCGCCTTCCCCTTCACCCAGCTGAGGAAGCAGCAAGAAATAGGGCTGAAGAGTGTTGGCTCTGGACCCAGACTGACTTTAAACCCAGCCTGACCATATTCACTACTTAACTAAGTCAAAACACTAACCCTCTAAGTTTCCTCCTTGGTAAATAGAGGTCAAAGTACCTCTTAAAGAAGTTTTGTCTTGTCGTGGAAAGAAAAGGTTTGGTCATAATTCAACAATCTATGAAGAAGATTCAAAGATCATCAATGCTCAATATAGGTTAATTATTTTTATTAGGTTTTGCTATTTATAAAAAGGAAAATTAATAATTATGCAACCTGGTTTCACATGATAAAAGCAAACTTTACAATTATTCCCCATATTTTACTCTTTTCAAACCAAATCAGGTCCCCATTGAGATCTTCGGGCTCATGACAGAATGTTTTCAAATGCCTCAAGCCACCAGCTAGAGTTCAGGGTTGAGGGCACCAACCCACTTACTCGCTGTGCTGGAGGTACTGTCTGTTTTCCAGTCGCCACGCCTTAGCTCTGTCCTTGAGGGGAAGACACTTTTCCTGGGGCTGCTCTCATAGACTCCAAACTCCACTTTCCCAGGCAGGTGCTGTGAGTGCCGGATGGGGACTGTGATCTCCAAGTCTGGAATCAGAAGAACAGGGATAAGCTTCAAGTGAGCAGATTGTCATCTACCTGTCTGCTCCTTGCCCCCTCTCCACCTGCTTTCTTCCACCCTCTAGCCCAGAAGGAACCTGACAGTGAGGGAGGAACCCTGGATTGTTTTCCCTGCCCACATCAATGGTGAAACCCTGGACTCCTGTGTGGCCAAGCTGAGAGACAGAAGGAAGGGATGCCAGGTTATGAGAAGAGGGCAGAGAACCACTTGCATGTCAGGGAGTGGTTGAGACATGGTCAGAGAGGTGCCTGGGTTCTCAGCTCCTCCACTAGCAGCTGTGCAGCTTTAGGAAGTCAGTTAACCCTCTTTTCTGAGAAGGGTGTTGTGTGCATCATTGGCCATCATTAACAGACCACCTTGGGCACCAGGTTTATTCTAAGACATTCCATATTTTTCACTCACTGAATCCCCGTAACCCCCAAGAAATCAAAGCTATTATCATCTCCAGCAGAAACTATGCACAGAAAAGTGAAGTTGCGTCCCTGTCACACAGCAGGAAATGGTAGATGTGGGATTTAGATGTTGGCGTGAGAGTCCAGGCACTTCCTCACTTGCTCCCTTAACACATGATGCACAGCAGGTGGGAAGGTTTGGGGTGGGTGGCCCATATTGCCAGCAGTGACCCACAGAGTTAATGACAGGAGGTCCTTCAGGTCCCTGAAAGCTTTTGTGACTTGCAAGGCAGATTAGTGGTAAAGAAGACTGCTCCTCTGCCTAGCAAAGCACTAACTTGACCTCTTTACTGGCTTAGCCCTGTCCAGTGGTTTGCCTTTATTCTTCCCTAGAGTTCTACCTTTGGGTTCTAACTCCCGCTGAGCAGAATGACATGTTGGTAGTGCTGGCAGCAACTTCCTCTTTAGGTAAGTGTAAAGCAGATGAGCCCCTGGCTCAGAGCTCCCCTTGCTGGCCCCGCTGTGGAAGTGGGGAGGGTTGGGGTGTGGGGAAGAAGAGGGATAAACTTTGAGACCTGTGCTCTTATCCTTGTGGTACCACTTTCTCTCCCTCCTCTCTACTTCCATGGGATGGGAGTAACAGGAAGTTTAGATGGGCTGTGTAGCAGAGGTGACTGCTGCCAAAGCCAGAGGTTGGGGAAGAAGGGTGAATGAATATACTAGAACTTTATGAAAGAACAGCATGCAGGGTGCCACACGGTGAACATTCAGCATAAAGAACACTAAAGGGTGGATTACGTCTTCCAAAGGCCCATGTATTGGCTTGGTCCCAACTTGGCACTATTGGGAGATAGTGGTGAGGCATTTAGGTCATTGGGAGCATCCCTTTGAAGGAGATAGTAAGACCCTGGCTCTTTCTTCTTTCTCACTTTGATCTAGGAAGAAATTTTGCTTTGCCATATGTTCCTCCCATAATGTGTTGCCTTAGGGCCAAATGATCAGAGTCTGAAACCTCCAAAACTGAGCCAAAACAACCCTTTTTTTTTTTATAACTTGGTCATCACAAGTATTTGTTGCAGTGATGGAAAGCTAACACAGTGTCCAGTTATGTAAGTTTACTCTTTTAACAGTAATGGTATTAAAGTCCCTGATATAAAAAATAGAAATAATTAAACCCTTACCCTCAAAAAATTCCCCATCAGAGGGCCTGCTTCCTGGGGAGCAGTGGTGAGAGGGGACTAAAGTCATGCTCCGTTGGAAAATTTTAGATATTAACCATTCTGATTTAAACTATAGGTACTAGAGGGTATAAATCACTTATTTGGAGTCTGATTAACCTTGGGTGAATTTTGTATAATGTTTCAAAACTTACGATCCTAGGGCTTGACCTGAAATGGTTATTCCTAGCTCAGTGCACTCCCTCTGGAAGGCTCTGCTTGAGAGAGTGCCAGCACATGTATGAGGCTGTGTGTGACTATAGGAGCAGATGGTTTTAGAGTGCTTCCATGTGCCAGGCACTGTAGTGGGCACAGATTATACTAAGACTCCTTCCTCGTGGGATGGGCACTTTTTTGTCACTTTGCAGATAAGGACTGAGTCTCAGGGAGGTGAAGTATCTTGCCTGTGGTTCCCAGTTCAGATTTCAGTGTGCTGAAATCTGACCCCAACCTTTCTGGCTCCAAGATTCATGCCTGTGTTCCTTTGCTTCTCTGCATGTGTGTCCATCTTGCTTCAGTAACTCCAAGGGCACCAGATGGAGTCCAGGGGGTAGAAAGATGTGATGATATCAGAAGGCTCAGTTCTTAAGCCCAGCCTGTTGAGCACATGGGACTCCAGTGCTACAAACTCCTGGGCCTTCAGACATAGGGCCCACCACCAAATCACAGGCTTTATGCTGCTGCTATATTTAAGAGCTTGTAATGTTTCATTTAATCAAGACTTCTATCTTTGGGCTCATTTGCTTTATTTTAAAAAGTACCTCGGTCATTTTGCCTCCTGGAGTTCTATTATCTGACCCCCCAATGACTGTGCAGACATTGACCCAGACTTTCTGCTTCCTTTGCGCGCTACTCCTCTCCTCCACTGGGAGGGCAGATACACCTGAGCTTGGGGAGTGGTGGCATGAATTTAAAATCTAGGCGTATAAGCAGAAGTCTTAGGATGAACTCTCTTTCTGCCAAGGTTATAAACTTTAACCACTCTGCCCCATAACAGTCAAAACCATTAACATTAGCTAGGCTACTACTTTCTGCACAACAGTGCATAGTGTCATGGGGCTGACCTTAGAAAGGAAAACTGAACCTACAAGAACATAAAGATAAGTAACCCATAAACTACCAGGTGGCAAAGACAATGGCTCATAGATCTTTGTATCTGGCTGGGTGACCTGTGCTCAGTGTTTGCAAGAGGAATCCCAGTGCTTGTGGGAGTGTTTGTGGGTGGTGTCACCAGACATTTTTCTAAAACCAATCACTACAACAAAGACTTTCTGAGCTCTGTGAATGTACTGTCCTGCACACTGGGGGTTCAGAGCACAAAGCAGACATGTTCTTGCCTTTAAGGAGCTTACCATAGGAGGAAGCAAGTTACTGGACCATAACTGTTAGAGTAGAAACAAGGTACTCCTGGTCTCTGATACATAACAAGAGGAAAAGCGACCAAACAAGAAGTGAGATGTAGAGGGCACCAATGGAGACAATGGCAAATAAATCTTCTCTGAAAATTAAAAGACCCAGCAGATGAAGATGTGAGGGAAAGTAGCAGGTCAGCAAAGGCAAAGGCCTTGAGTGAGGGTAGGGGATGAAGGGAGAATGAGCTCAGAGGTCACATCATGTGAGGCCTTGTAGGCCACAGTGAGGACTTTGTTTTAATGCTGAGCATCACAGGAGCCGCTGGAGGGCTTAGACCAAGGGAGTGACATCATCTGATTTTTTACTTTTAGAATGGGTTTGGTTATAGTTTGGAAGGTTATCTGTACAGGGGCAAGAGTAGGCATGAAGGGACAAGTGAAGAGGCTACTGAGTTTTGGCAAGAGATAATGTGCTACAGCTGTCACACAGGAGATGGTCAGAAATGACCAGATTTAGGATGTGTTTTGGAAGCAGAACCCTTCGGGATTGCTAGCAGTTAAATGAAGGAATGAGGTAATACCAAAAATAACAATGAAAAAGAAGTACCAGGTAAAGGGATAATAGCTTCTATAAATGCTCAAATGAGGATGGACTCAGGTAGCCTGCAGTGGTTCTGCCAGGCCAGGTGACAGTAATGAGGCCCACCATGCCAGAGGATCTCAGTGGGAAGATGCAGTGTGGACAAATCAAAGTCCTTGCTCAAGAGTGATAGTGCCACATGGCTGCTACCCTGGGAAGGGTGGGTCAGGGGAACAGAGGAGCCCAGTCCTCAGTGTGCACAAATGGAATCCACCTATGTTATCGTATGGTGGGAGCCCCACTAACCTAGGTCCTGGGATTCTGAATCAGTGTGTGATTTGGGAATTGATGACACAGACTCACCACTGAAGTCAGAAACAGGACATTCTGTGAATGGGGTTTTCTCCTTTCTCTGCTCAAGAAACATATGTCCTCCCAGTTGGCAAAGACAGCCAGGCACCAGTCCACTCAGGCCACAGCAGAAAGGAGAGTCAAGCAAAACAACAGTGGCCCCATAAAGCAGCCGCACATACCTGTCTGCTTTCCTGATTTCTGTTTCTCTTTCTGTCTTCGGGTGATACTATCCCTTAATCGTTTAAGATTCTCCTATAAAAAAAAAAGAAGAGTTTAAATATATACCAGAATTATATCCTTTGAACATTAGAATTACATTCTGATGATATGCTGTATGCAAAGTCTATCACATTGCAGTATCATTTTCAAAATGTAAATGAGGCTCAGTGTAGTTGGCTCCCAGACAAACCCACATCCTCATCGAATTTGTGCCCAAAAAGAAGACACCTCTTCCACAGTACAATGTCTTCCCACTCATCTGGCTCCCAGCTCCATTCCCCACTCTATGACCCTTTGCCCTTCTCTATGGACACCATGTAGCAAAACCGGTATCTGACCTGCTCACAAATACTCTGCATATATTCTTTTTTTAAAATTAATTTTAATGGTACATTTTAGGTATACAATATAA